CTGTTATAGACATGTTTGGTATCTACAGGAATGTCTGAATCTTGGCTACAAGCTGGTAAAAACCATTTTAATGAACATTCAAGAAGACAAAACTACAAGCAGTGGAAGATAAAACGATGAAAGTGAAAATAAAACTGGTTTAAAATTTGGCAAGTCAGAGATGTCAAAATAATATTTGTGTCAAACAGGAGGCATAATGTGTTCTTTTTGTTTTTGATATTGTTTTATTTTCACTACTTTTATAGGATTCTGTATGTTGTAATCATGATTAAATGCAGCAAAATAAACTATTTCAAAGGTAACAGATCTTTGTAATACTTGGTTTATTTACATAGTAACTATAATTGCTGTATATTCGGCCCCTGAGCTGTTGACCTGTAGTAACTTTGGCCCCCAGAGCAACTTAATTGAATAGCCCTGGGCTAGGCCATGATTAGTAGGAGAGCTGTTTCAGTGAGCACAGAAGCTTAGGTCAAAAGCCTCGCTGCAGCCACAGCAAGTGCAGATCTCTGTGGTAGTAGTAAATGTTTAAACAAGATCTTTTAATGCCTACTTGGAGAAGGGTCCTTGTGAACAACAGTAAACATGAGTAGTCTCTCCTAAGGGATGTGTCAGTGCCTTTTCATGAAAATCAAAAAGAAAAAAATAAGTAGGTCCTCTGGATGGATTCTTCTTTAGTGAAACGTTTCGTCTCTCCTCTAAGAGACTTCTTCAGTCTGATGAGTTTCAGGTGAACTCAGCCTTATAAGCACTGCCTCCACATGGTGGACAAACAGGTTAGTCACATGCAAAAGAGGGCCATCACCTAACAATAGGCTTGATTAGCTCTATTGTTCATAGAGGGTCATGTGCCTCATCACCTGACTTATTGGTTTGGATGCTTTGGCTGTGGTTATTTGGTGTTTTGTTATGCGTATGTAGTGAGTGCAAGCGGGGTTCAACGTCCCCTTGTTTCTGCCTTTTTTCTTTCACAATTTGTGTTGGTTATCATTGGGGCCCTGATTCACACCTTTTGCTCACAGGGGGCAGAGTCATACTTGCAATAACAGCATTACAGGAGGAGGACAACTGAACACGTAGGCCTCCAATTCTGTTTAATGGTGGATGGTTTTTCTTCATAAAGATGGCTTCCTTTACTCCTCTCTCAAACCAACGTTCCTCTCTATCAAGGATGAGAACATCTTCATCCCTGAAAGAGTGACCACTGGCCTGTAGATGAGTGAAAACTGCAGAGGGAACTGGATCTTTGGGGTGAACTCATCAGACTGAAAAAGTCTCTTGGAGGAGAGACTAAATGTTTCACTAAAGAAGAACCCATCCAGAGGACCTACTTATTTTTTTCTTTTTGATTTTTTTTTCTACCTGGATTACTGAGATGCATCAGGACACTTTTCATGAAAAGTTACAGCAGAGAAAGTTGGACTTCAGGTCCAGTTTCCTGCAGGCAGTAATTGTAGGTTTAATGAAACTGTGTGTTAGTCAGTGTTCATCTTTTTTCTGGGCAGATGGTTTATTCGGACAGTGCCAGGCCCCAAACCAGGAGCCTGCCCAGTACCAGGTCTCAGTCCCAGTTCTGCACAAGCTGCAGGAAGTTCTCAAAGACCTGATGGTTCAAGGTGAGTCTCTGAATATAGTGGCAGAGTTAAAGCTCTAAATTCTGCTCATTATTGTTAAAATCAAAGAAATTTGTCTAAAACCTCAGGTCTGACCTGGAAGGATGATGTGACCCAGACCATCATCAGTCGAGAACTGAGTCGGGTTCCTACCATTAGTTTTAAACGTCCGGAGGATTCACCCAGACGGTAAGACAAAACTGGTTTCCTTATGTTTCAACACCAGAGCTTTACACACAATCAAACTGTTTTACATTTCAGGTCAGCCAGGCTGATGGGTCCTCAGACAGATCAGAGTCCTGGAGATGGAGATGACCCAGAGATGATGCAGCAGTACATGGATTACATGGTTCTGGATCCATCACGGCCATCCGTCCACATGCAGACACCCCTGATGGACCCGTACACCTACCACAAGGTTGGAGAACAGTAAAACCACAGGAAGCTGTCAATGATGACAAGTGGGTTTATCTGTGTAGTAAAACACAAGTAAAACAGAAGAAGTGAACTACAGTAAGTAAACTAAAGATACTACAAGAAGTAAAACGACAGGCAGAAAACTTCAGTAAATTAACTAGAAATAATCCACAGGAAGTAAACTGCTGCAAGTAAAATACAAGAAGTAAACAACAGGATGCAAGATACAGGAAGTTAACTACAGAAGGAAACAATAGAAAGTAAATTTCAGCATAAAAACTAAAGAAAATAAACAGGAAGTGAACCACAACAAACTACAGGAAATAAACATCTTGTGTATTTCTGTTTTTGCAGCAGCAGTTTGGCTTCCAGGATGAAGAGGAGCGTTCCCTCAACTCCCTCGATGATAATCCAGCCTTCCCTCACTCCAGATCCCAGGGAAACTCTGTGGACCGGGACCAGCAGCTCCTCCAGAATCTGGTCTCCCTGTACCTTGCTGCTCCATCTTCATCGTCCTCTTCCTCACAGTCTCTGCCCCGCCACAGGGGGGCAGTGTCCTCAGGCCTCCCCTCTTCCTCCTCCTTGTTCCCGGAGCTGGACTTCCCACTGGACTACGGTGAGGACTACATTTCGCAGGTCAGCCAACTGCGTAAGCAGCTGCCACGGGAGCAGAAGAAGAAGAAGCCAGAGTATGACTTCCTGTCTGGGCTGGATGGTAAGTTGTGAGGATCAAATGAACAGAGGACAGATTTATTTATTTATTGTTTTCACCTGATTTTTTTTTTACAATAATTGACTACATGTAAAATATGGTAGAGAAAGTATTTGCTATTTGCTGTTTAACTAACGTCAAATTGTTTTTATAGAATACAAACTCGATCAGAGAAATGGTATTATTCTAAAAGGCTTAAACTGGAATTATGCCGGATTCACATGGCAGGATAATCATGCCGACCTTTGCCCTTCCAACAATCTTAAAGGGGACCAAATATGCAAAGTTCACTTTTTCAGTTTTTTAACTTACATTTGGGTCTGTACTGCTTCTAAAAACAGTTCAAGCACCAAAAACATGCACTCAGATGTATTTTTACTATTTCTGCATCTTGAAATGACCTGTTTTCAACCACCGCCGTTTGTGACATCTCAAGTCTCACTCCAGCCCACCCCAACCTGAGCCCAGCTCATCTCCTGGTAACCCAAGCAGAGACTCCGCCCACTTCTTCACAGGACGGTTCTGCTGTTTTACAACAGTCATGGAGAACAGAGATGTGTGGATTAATTTTATTTTTATTTAATTTTGTTTATATTTTTGATGGCAATGTTCTCCCAGATAGCAAAAGATGTTAATTCAATGTTGAATTATGGTAAAAAAAAAAGAGTTGATTTTGGTTAAGGTCGATGATTGATGGTGAATCAACCATCAAACAATCATACAATTCTAACTCTGTAGGAGGAGAAGGGAGAGGAGAAAAAAAGGTTGACATTGATAATGAATTAGTTATGGTTGAAAACCGAACATTGTTTTAAGATGCAAGTCACTGACCACTTTTTGTATAATTTCAGCATTGATGAACGCTGATGCCTAACCATATTTCAACGTTGATTCACTGATATTTTGCTATCTGGGCAATATTAAAAAAAGTTTGTGTAAATAATTTCACCGTGAACTACTTTGGAAAAATTGTACTTTCTACTGAAAAGAAACTTCTGGCAGGGGACAGAGTAATGGTGCGTTCACACCAAACGTGTTTTGAGCGTCAGGAGCATCAGGTTTACATGCAAAGTCTATGGTGGACGCACGTCTGGAAGTGCTGCAGCACGTCAAGCGCGATTAGAGCGGCACAATTTGAACAATTTGAGCATCCGACGCGTTGGAGTTGGAAAATCTGAATTTTTGCAGCTTGACGCGTCGTGTCAACTAACCAGAGAGACTCCACTGTGTGACGTAGTGACAGATTTCCCGACGGGACAGAATGATGTCCACTAACCTGAGATAGATGGACTGGAGCTCTTTAGCTGAAATCAAGTGCCTGCAGTTGGTGTCCTGGCAGCAGATATCTGCACGATGCGGGTCAGCGGCTCATCAAACTAGACGGGACAAAAATAGTTCCAAGCCTCGAGTCTGCTCGCAGCTCCTCGGTGATGAAACTCACCAAACTCAGAACGTCTCTGAATTATCTGGTGAATTAATTATGACTTAATTATCTGATGAACGTGACATGTTCTTGCTCTCTGTAAATAAAGCAAAGCCACTTCCTATATTTCATCCAGAACCGGCTCTTGGCATAGGCGAACCTGGCGGTCACCTAGAGCACCATCTGCTGGAGGGGGCGCCAAACTGCAGAAGAAAAAAAAGTAATTATTTTTAATCCCTGGTTGTAACTCTGCTCAGTGCCCCTTTCAATTAGCTTTGTCTTAAAAAACTATAATGAAATATTTCAGGAAAAATAAACTACTCTACCCATAAAACATCCCCCCCCCCCAACGCACCAATCGCCCCCACCCTCATTTGATTGACGTTGCACTGATTAATCCTGCTCCGACACTCTGACGAGGGAGGGGCTAGTAGTACCTCTCAGGTAGCGGTTTGTGTTGACAAACTCAATAACAACAAGTCTGTCTTTTGTTGTCCCATACATGTCCACCTCTTCGGACGTTTACCTGTATAAAAAGCCTAAAAAATCCGTAAATTTTGCAAAAAATCCATACAACTCGCACGCGGGGGGGGCAAATAAATCCAAGTTTACCATAGTACCTTACACTGTCAAACTTGTTTTTAGGGGGTTCAAATTGGGGTGGGTGGGACATAGTTCGGGGGGGGGGGGTGCGCTTCAACTCGCCCAGGGCACCAAAATGGCTAGAGCCAGCACTGATTTCATCAGACCTTAAACATAGACCGGCAGAGGAGGGAGGGGGCGGGGAGGCTCTTGACGCGAGTCGAGGGCTTCAAGAGCAATTTTGACTCGTGTCTGACCGCAAGCGTCCAACTTGAAGCGTTGGATGTGATTTTGACGCTGAAATCACGTTCGGTGTGAACGCACCATTAACGTAAACAAAAGGTTGGGAGGAGGTTTCCATAGAAACTTATGCAAAGCAGCAGGTTCTGAAAAGAGCTGAACTGAAAAGGTGAAATTTCATTATCTGAGATTAATTTTGTGAATTAAATCAAATGAACGTGTTTTGAATGGCCCACAGATGGATCCTAACTTGTTCAAGGACCCCCATATTAGGTCACCTTTAAGGACACTCAGATTATATAGATATACAGTATATGGTCTGCATGCTGTGTGATATTTTTTTGTCTTATTATTTTTATTTCTTCAGAGCGCTCTCTACAGAGGCTGGCTCTGCTTCTTGACCACTACAGCCTGGATATGAAGGACCTGTCCCCGGAGCAGCAGGACAACTTGCCGGCAGTTCTAAAGCAGCTACAGTTGGAGGACTCCCACGTACCCAAACAGAGCAAAGGTTTCACCAATGACTGGCAGTTTGTACTTACATTACTGGAGAAATCAATATCACAGATTTCAAAACTAGTCAAAATTAATTGAACATTTTTATTAACAACTTTGGTTTTGTTTTTTAATCAGAAAAATACGGCGAGAACACAGCCATGAAGAATAAGGTGAGGATTTCTTGGTTTAATCAAAAAGTTGTCATGGTTCATCAAGAGATTTAGACCTAGAAGGCAGACAGAACCAAAGCATGAAAAAAACTTGTTTTTTTTTTTCAACATAAAACAAAAGGTTGATAAGATGGCAAAAAAAGAAAAAAATTACACTAAGGAGATTTTCAAGGAAAAAACAAAAAGGGACCATCAGACTTCTGCTGTTGAGTGAAGTGGAACAGAAGGATAATATGGACGGGTTGATTAGAAAGAGCAACTGCAGCTGTGGCAGGTGAACGAGGTGTAAGTGGGCATGGCAGGAAAAGTAAAATTACTGATAAAAGAACATGGGTAGTGTCTCAATCCAGGGGCTGCAGCCTAACTAGACTGCGGCCCACGGAGGCCACAGCCCATGCAGTCCAGGTAGGCTGCATAAAACTGCTGTAAAATAAATCTAGTCAACCTCTTTCATAAGACAGTTATGTGAAATCGCAGCACAGACCAGTCCAGCTTTAAGCTCCCTCGGTTCATTCATAAAATCACAGGAGAAGCCGGCCAGGCCCTGCTCACATGTATGCGGTCAGAAATGAATCCAGTTTGCAGAACCAAAAGAGGAGTGGAGCAGATCTCAGCTGGGCTGAAGTAAACCGCAACATATTTATTGTGTGACGGGCGTCTGTCTCGTATCAAACCAAACAAAATGAATTAACTTACATTAGCGATCCTGTGGTTCAGTATTTTTAAAATAAACTACAAAGTTGCTGTTCTGTGTCATCTTTAATATAACATCAACTATAAATTTGTTGATTAATGCTGCTGTCGCTCACTGATGTCTGCTTTGTTATCAAACCAAACAAACTGAATTAACTCACTTCAGCGATCCTGTGGTTCAGTATTTTTTTAAAACTAACTACAAACATACATGTTAACCCCTTTGGACTTTTACATGTAGCCTCAAAAACCCGTAATGTTCACCAAAAATCTAGTGCCCCTTTTCCACTAGTGCCACTTTAGTATAGTGTCAGTACAGTCAGTGTCGGAACAGGTCAGTTCGGGTGCTTTTCCATTGACGTTCCAGTCCGGTTCCAGTAGGTGTGTTTTGGGCGGTTGGTGGAGGTGGCTTTTGGGTTTTTGGAAAAAAAAAAGAGTTAATGCACAAAATGAGAGCTGGAAACACATTTGCCGAATAAGTTCTGAAATTTTAAAAATTTGCTAAAAATTTGAATTAAAATTGGATGGAAACCAACTAATGTCACTGCTACAATTGAAAAAATGGCTCCTTGAGTTGTTCTTGCAAAGGCAGCTTAAACGCAACCAGTGACTCCACCCCCTAGCCAATCAGTAACGAACAGTGTTCTGACGTCGCATTTTGGTGTCGACTAGGACCGTTTGGAACCACAATGAAGTAGTGTAGGGGAGAGAGCTTAGGGTGAATGAAGCTTTTCCTACATCTCTCATTAACAAGGTTATGAGGAAAGTTTTACCAAGGTATTTTCTCATTGCTTTTAATATCTTGACTGTGCGAAGTGAAAAGTGACACAATAAGTGGACGTTCAGACGATTTCAAGTTGATTCATAAAGACTATGCAATCATTTATTTGCACAAATTGAACAAATCATAAGTACAACTGATTGTAGTTATTCCTATAACAAGCTTCAAAGTTAAATGAGATAAAACTTGCGTCCGAATTTTAATTCACATCAAACTCAGATTACTCATATACAGAACAGTAAAACGTCAGTTCTGATGTTACAACCAAACAATTTTACTGGCACTTTCAGCTTAAGTTTTGGCAAATAAAGAACCAAGTAAAGGAGGAAAGTAAGGTTAGTAGGGTTCTACTAATTTTACTTTATCAAAGAGTATGTCCAACCGGATTAGCACATCCCTTCTGCACTCAGTTTTCACATGACACGTCACCCGGAACACGTCAGTTTTACCTGGTGATGGCTTCTTAAGCAACACCTGGGTAGTCACTGTCTCACCTCCGATCAGTCAGGGAACTTTTTAATCGGCTCGCTCACTGTTCCTTGGAGAGAAAGGTGTTATTTCAGGTAACTTTTCGTCTGTTTCAGTCCAAGCCAGAAAGATTCATGCTGTACATCCGGTTCCTTCTTTCAAAAGAAAATCTCCTCTCGGGAGTTAAAACACACTGTGGAGGCAAGGAGCCTTGGGTGGGACAACCGGCTGGCGTGCCGCTGTCCCGGCTGTTAGATCCCCCCTAATTAGCTCATGGGCTGAGACCCAACAGGCCAAACTGAGTCTCTCCCGAGAGAGAAAACTCAGCTTTCCTTCCTAGTTGGCGTTCGGAAGAAAAAGTTTGTCGCTCAAAGACGTCCGTGGTTAGTCAAAGAAACAGACGAACTTTGGTTCCGCCCTCAGGCGTAAGATGAGTCAGAGAAAGGAAGAAAGATAAAGACTTGCCAGCCAGGCGCCAGTCAAGGTTAAATTCTGTGGTTGTCCAACAACAGAATATGATAACATTTCTTTAGCTTTTCTCTGATAGACTCTAATGGTGCGTTCACACCAAACGTGATTTCAGCATCAGGAGCATCAGATTTACATACAAAGTCTATGGTGGACGCACTTCAAGCAACGTCGGGAAGTGCTGCGGCGCCTCAAGCGCGATTAGAGCAGCGCGATTTGAACGATTTGAACGATCTGAGCGTTCAACGTGCTGAGGCGCAAATCGCTGAAGTTAGAAAATCTGAACTTTTGCAGCTCGACACGCAGCATCAACCAATCAGAGAGACTCCACTGTGTGACGTAGTGACAGATTTCCCGACGGGATAGTTTACTGAATGATGTCCACTAACCTGAAACAGATGGAGAGGAGCTCTTTAGCTGAAATCCAGTGCCTGCAGTCAGTGTCCTGACAGGAGATATCCTCACCATTGCGTGGCAGCAACTCATCAGACTGGAAAAATAGTCCTGAAAGTGAGCTGTGAGCCTCTACTCTGAATTATCTGGTGAATTAATTATGAATTAATTATCTGATGAACGTGACATGCTCTTGCTCTGTAAATAAAGCAAAGCCACTTCCTCGTCTGACATTAAATAGAGCCTGACAGAGGAGGGAGGGGCGGGGAGGCTCTTCCCGTGCAGCGCTTCAAGAGCTGTCCTGCGTCTGACGTCAAGTGCACAAGCTTCAAACTTCAGCGTTGGCTGCGATTTTGAAGCTGAAATCGCGTTTGGTGTGAACGCACCATAAGAGAAATCACTGCAAAACATTTATGATGATTAATTAACATTTCTGTTTTATAATCAGTCTGAACCATTCTGTTGGTTCAGATAAATGAAAGATTTTCTCAAGAAAAATCCACAATTATATTACTGTGTTCACAGTAAAATAAAAACAATGATTTACATAAAAACACAATGAAAACATTGTAATGATTTTCTCTGTGATTTTTTTATACCATTAATTAATCTTTTAGGCACGATAAAAGAGTAGAAGTGGTTCCACTTTCTTGTGACGGTCATTATCATGATTTAACAAATGCATAAACATTCTTAGTTAAACAACAAATGAATCACGAACAGAAGAGATTGTTCTGCCCATCATCTGATTAAGAGAACCGAGGGGTTCTCTTCTGGGTTGAAATGACCTGTCATGGCCTAAATAGAGTTCAGTTTGTGACAGAGTTCCTGTCCTCTTGTCAGGCCTGTTCGAGGCCTGCTTCGAGGCAGTAAATCTTGTTTCTTCACTCGAGGTGACCCCTACAGTAGGTACTAAAAAATACTTATTCCATAAATCTAGCCAAATGGAAATGGCTTGGAACCGTACTGAACCGTACCAACACTACACTAAGTGGCACTAGTGAAAAAGGGGCATAGAATCACACACTGGGGGGTTTTAGTTCAGGTTTTTAAAAGTCTGAATTTCCTAGAGAAACCAGAGGTATCCCATAGCATCAGTTTAGTAATCTGTGCGCACTGATTTCCAGCGGCTGTTTTTTTTTTCTCCCACTGACCCCTCACGGGCTCCGTAATAACCTGAATAATTGTGCAGAAAACCCAGTTGATTCTCTTCTAAATATTTTTATTCTTCAGATCACTGTCTTCCAGCCCCCGTCTGTTTGGCCCTGAGTTTTATCAAAACAAGGCCCTCTCAACACCAGCCTTGTGTCTGTTTACACTAAAGTCTCCTCTTCTAACGTTTTACTTGTATCTAAACAATAATAGAACACCCTGGTCACACCCTGGTACATTTTAAGTCAGCACTGATACCTGATACAATGTACTCCTAAACAATTCTTGTTTATTCTGAAGAGGGACACATTGATAGAGACTTGCCTGCTCTCCCTCTGTTTAAAGCAAGTTACAGCAATTGATCACAAAGCATAGAATATAAGACTGTCTCTAAAACTCAATGTATCTGTCAGAAAATTTCCTTCACATGACTTGTCGTTTGTGCAACAAGTTAAGCTTGCTTTTGAGTTCAAGGATTGTTCAAGTGCAGCTTTCTGCCAGCATATCTTGGATATATAAATCATACTTTTGTCAAAGAGGCCTCTGGGTTTTTTGGTTTGTTTGTTTGTTTGTTTTAAATATAAAGCTCAAATCTAATTGCCAATGGGATCTGTTATTTCTAAAGCTCTGTCCTTGTTCATCAGGTCACCGAGGGTTCAATGGCCTATAAAACTGTTCCCCAGGAGGCTCTACCTCCCGCCACCAAACTTGGCGGAGAGCAGAAGGAGGCAGGTCCAGCTGAGGCATCGAATCAGGACAGAGGAGGACAGAAGGAGTTTGGATACATCGTTACCAATCAGAGGTGCAGCAGTTTTCCCTTCCTGTTTCATCCACTAATCAGACAGGTCATGTTCCCTGTTGTCTGTACGAGTGAAGTTTGTTTGTTTGTCAACAGGAAATAAAGAAAATCAAGGAGAGGGGAACAGAATAGAATAGAATAGAATAGAATAGAATAGAATAGAATAGAATAGAATAGAACAGAA